CCCTTTATGTTGTCTTCTCAATCGAAGGCTTTTAATCTATGTGATGCTCGATCGGATTACTTGTTCAGATTCCGTTTGACCAGATGTTTTATTTGTTCAGATTTCGTCATTTAGGTATGATATCTAATATCATCCTGCTCATAATGAAATATAAATACATATTTTGTTCAAAACATAAGATAACATTTTGTTGTCATATATTCTTTTGATGTGTTTCAACTATTTTTTTTTACCACAAAAGAGTGGCTTTATAATACAATTTGAAGCGTCAAATAGATAAAAATAATTGGTAAATTAGTAGGTCGCTTATCGAGTCACTATGCAAATCATTGACCTAGTAAAAAATATAATATTCATACAATGCATTTTAAAATTAACAAAATATATATAAGTTTTATGAGTCTAAATATTTAATGATGGATCAACTATCACTTTGGAGGTCTGAAAGATGATTTCTATCTATTCCAATCTCGAAAAATTTGAAATTATCTAAAAGATTTATTTTTGGCAATAAGTTCAAAAATAATATATTGAAAATGTGTTCTTGCAAGCTTAAGGAAGAAAAAAGGAAGTCCTTTTATTTTTCATATATATTAATGTATATCCGGTTTATGTTTTATTTATATAAGTATTAGATTTGAATGATCTTATTACGGTAATTTGTTTTGTAGGAAATCAGCATGTATGGCGGATGGAAACAATGCATTGAGGCTAGATCATTGGGGATATCTACTTACCATCATAAGGCTCGCAAATTTGGAAAGAAGATCGCGCGAGAAGGAAGGAACTTGGAGAAGACTCCACGCCTAAGGAGTTGTATAAATACCCTGCTTGAAGATCGAAGAAGTCTACATACATTCGAGCTTCAAGCGTTTTTGAGTTTCCGTTATTTTTCAGTTTTAGGTGTTCTTATTTCATCGAAAAACCGAAGTCTTTTGTTTCATTTTCTTTCGTTTTCATTCAAACACTTTTGTGATTAGTACTTAGGGATTAAGTACAGTTAAGTCCATTAGACGTGGCCGGAGAAGTAGTTGATAGATTTGAGTATAGTTGTGGCTACGCTAGAAGGGAGTTCCAGTTGTTGTAAGTCTAAACTATGCAAGTGTGCACAATCGAGTTATCAATGAAAGAGCTCTGAGGAGTAGCGGGTCACTCCCCGAAGAGTTTTTATATTTTGTTGTGTTTACGTTATTTTTAACTTTTCTGGTGTTGCAACATAGTTTATCATAATCCCTGTATTAACACGAGTTGAACGCCCTAAACTCTATACGTATACTTTTCATTATCAATTTAAGATAATGAATATAATTAATATAAATATATTTTTAAGCCACATCAAATAAAATATGAACAAATTTTTTTAACCACATCAGTTAGAAAAATTATAAAAAGAAACAAAATATAAATAAAAAAATATAAAAGATATTTTACCTTTAGAGTCTTAATTGATAATTTTAAATTTTTCTGAATTGAATTGGTAGATTATATTTTTAAAACTCATCTTTGAGTCTTAAATTGATATAAACTAATGAGAAATGCTACGGTTCCGTTACAAACCATTCTGTCGGGTTTGTAACCGTTAGATCCTCATGTAACCGTCGAAGATAATTGATCTAACGGTTGCAAACCCCGACGGAATGATTCCGTAACAGGACCGTAGTTTCTCCCTAAATTAATATCTTAAATTGATAATTAAGAACTTTTGGGTCCTATACAATCTATCTTTTAGATGTACCGTATTCTTTTTTTTTTTTCGGAATGATAGAAATTTTATATAAAAGGCACAAATGTGTAAATATACAACCACCAGCTGAAAATACAGCCATCAGCTGAATTAAAATGGGAGGACAGGTCGAAAGACCTGCCTAGAATCGGCCCTAACAGGGTAATACCCCACCCACACAAAGACGACCCCAATAGGGTAAAAATAAAATACAAAAAACATCCAACCTAAAGAACTACCCCAACAGGGTAATGCCCGAGTGTAAAATCCCAACAGGATAATAAGTTCACACTCGGGCGCACAGATGCCAACGGCCCAAACCTAAAACACAAAACCTAAACAACAGACACTCCAACGACACAAAACGAAACATAGACAAAGTAACAAAACAAAAGATAAAAAAACAAAAGCTAAGACGAGCCCTCCCTTAGTGAAGAGACCGGACTAAACCAGTGGGCGTAAGCCGACTCCAAGGGAAGTCCAAAGAATGAGGACCACACCCACCACTGCCGAAGCCTAGCAAGGCGAAGTCCCAGTCCACAAACAACACCATCAGCCGACCCGCTCTCCAACCGAAAGAAGCCAAAATCGACACACAAACCACCGCCGTCGACCGGAACCCAGCTAACACCACTAGTCGCAGATCCAGCAACACCGGTCCTCCCACAGATTCAACGCCAGAGATCCAGGGAGAAGAGCCCAAGAATGGCAACAATGCCCCAGCCACACTGAAACTACCGGTGTGACCAATGGGCGCACCACCCAACGCTCCCCCCAAACACCCAATAGCCAAGCTCCACCGCACCACAAAGAAGCTAGCGATCAAGAACAATGCCGACACCCTCAAATAACGACAGAGCCTGAGACGAAGCCAGCTGGAAAAGAGAAGAGGGGAAACGCCACGAGCTACACCCAATCGTCGTTGCTGCACCCCTCATAGCCCCTACACCCGCGGTCGCCGCCAGAGCGCAAATAACCACCGAGAAATCGGAGGAATCATCGCTCAAGCCAAACCACGAACAGAGAGAGAGAGAGAAGGAGCACCTCAGGCCGAACCATGGGTGGGTGGTTGAGAGCTGCTCACCGACAAGCCAGCGTAGTCACCAAGAGAGGCACAGATCGAAAAGATTGAGGAAAAGTTCGGCGGAAGAGATTGGGGAAAAAGGTTTTCGGCGGAGCTTTTTGGTTAGATTATCTAGATGTACCGTATTAACGGATAAAAAACTTTATTAATAATAATAGATAAATTAACTTTTATTTATTTATTCTAGGTGTACACAAGTAACAAAGACAATATTCTAATGTGGATATATGATGAGTCTGAATTTCAACGGTGTATATTTTTGGGCACACCACACCACCACCACTTCATCGTATTACCACCTCACTTTTAATTTCCCGATGACACGTTTCCACACTCCCATCAAACTAATTTGCCAAATCGGTACACACATGTCCACCATTTTCTTTTTACTTTCACTCTCATATTTTTCTTTTCTCATCTCTAAAGGGGAGATGAATAGTCTTGAAACTCAAAATAAATTAAAATAACGGAAAAAGAAAAAAGAAAAACAAAGTAAGTTAGGGTAGAGTAGACATGACCAAGGGTCGAATGGGCTCAGAACCCCTTAAGAGCCGGTTCAGGGTCATGCTTTATCACTTTTTGACCTGCCAGGCCTGGCCAGTTTCAGACCGGGCCCTGGTCGAAAAACTGGCCGTAGTTGTTTTTATTCATTTATTTATTTATTTTCTAAAAAAAAAAAGTTGAACAGTCGGGTCGGGCCGGTTCTTTTGAACTAGCCCTTAGATATAGTCGAGTCGATTCCGAACGCAGCATTTGAGGCTTGACGACTAGGTTCACGGCCCGGCCTTTGAACACATCTAAGTTAGGGGTAATTCAAGTGGAGGAGTGTTATAGTCCAGTCTTGATTTTGACATGAGAAAGTCTTGGTCTCTTTGTCTATGGCGGCCGGCCATGGTGGCGGTCGGCTCAGTGGCGGTGGCTCCCACCATTTCTCCTCCCCGCAGTTGTAATTAAATAATCAAAGCAACTTAAAATTCGCCTTTTTCTCCGCATTATTTTCATTTAGCACCAAAATTAATTGCTTTTTTTCCCATATTATTTAAAAAAGAATCCCGAGAATTATTCATCAGGAATTTATAACTAATATTCAACATGGGTTGACTCAAATGGTAAGCTGCTCGATGTAGAAGGTCTCGGGTTCGAGTCCTTGTAGATGTAGAAAATCCTTGTTGGGAGACCCACCACCGTTAGGTATACGACCCCAGTCGACCAACGAATTAGTCGGGGCATAGCTCTGAATACCGTGATTGTCTACCAAAAAAATATAAAAAAAAAAGAGAGAGAGAAGATGAGCACTTCAAGTTGCACCAAACAGGAGCAATGGTAGGTCCAATGGTGGTTCCTTCATCGGCCCTTTCTTAATCATCACAAGCACTTGTTGACCCCCTCACATGCATTCACTCTCTAATAATCAAATTAAATCCATATTATCCAAAAAACAGGGGAAAATAAATAAAAAAAATACTTTTATAAATAAAAAAAAAAAATTAAATAATTCACATATTGAATATTAACACAGCATCGCAGGCAGCTTGAAAGAACAAAACTGTTCTATCCAATGAAATGGAGAATTACAAAAGAAATCATACTGAGGAGCAGAGAAAATACAAACAAAGATGGGAGGTGCATGTTAGCAAACACTCTCCTACTAGAAAATTAAAATAATATTTAATATCAAAATCATTTCTACTTTCTTTACTTTTTTTTCTTCACCAGTTCTCCGACGAGTCGGGTTCCTCGGGTTCGGGCTTCTTGTTCAGGTCAATCAGGTCGTGGTGGAACCAGGAGGACCTGGTCCCCGGGTGGTCCCCGCGGCCGGGCGGTGCCGGCGGGTCCCCGGCGCCGGCCTGGAGGGCGTCGACCCGGGAGCCCACCTCCACCGCCATCTGCCTGATGGCGGCGGCGGAGAGGTCTCCCCCGGCGGCGGGGGCGGGGCCGACCTCGCCGGGGAAGTTGAGCCTGGCGGTGGGGCCGCGGAGGTGGTAGACGGCGGTGTCGTAGGCGCGCGCGGCGGCGACGGCGGTGGAGTAGGAGCCGAGCCAGATCCTGGAGCGCTTGTTGGGCTCCCTGATCTCGGCCACCCACTTCCCCCACTTGCGCATCCTGATGCCCTTGTACGGTTTCTCCGCCCCGCGCCGCCTTGATCCGCCGCCCGCTGAAGAGCCGCCGCCGCCGCCGACTTCCATCCCGGTAAAAATTTGTGGAGTTGTTTTACGAATAGGAGAGGAAAAGGGTTTTAGGAGGTAAGAAAATGAGAAAATAGGGTGAAGCGGGCTGAGGTGCGGGCCGCTATTGTGGAATTGGGCTTACGAGGCAACCTAAGCTGCGTGCTTTGTCCACGTTTGTTTTTGCCCCAAAAGCATGTCGGTTTTTGTGTTTTTTTTTTTTCTTTTTTTTTTTTTGTAGGATGCCCAAAACTAACTCACAAACTTCACCGACACCGCCTCACGCCCACTTTCTCTCTCTAAAATTCTTTTGTTTGGAGGTATGTGGGACGATTTGGAGCTATATCTATTATTATATCTATAAATTGGGAGCTGTACTGTATATAATATAATAATGATAATAATAATATTATAATAATAATAATAATACTAAAAATAATAACCAATTCTCCATCTTATGAATATAAACATAATATGTAAAATAATATAGTAATATGAAAATTGCATATGTAAAATAAGGAGAAGGCTATCATCCCGTCACGGAATCATTCTGCAAGAGTTTTTAGCCTTTGGATATATATAAAAGTTAATTATCGTAAATAATCAATAAAAACTCTCACGGAGTGATTCCGTGACGGGGTGGTAGCTTTTTCCGTAAAATAATATAATAATATGAAAGTATTTATCAAGACTACTTTATTATGGCAATATAAATTGTTCTATAAAATTGATATTTCAACTAAGAAATTCTATGATGTTATTTGTTTTATTTATTTATTTTTTGGTGGACCCATATAATTCATTAAACACATAATTATAAGTAGTTAAATAGCCGAATGAACCAGTTAAAAACTAAATTCAAAAACAGAGGCCTACTCAATGTAGCCTAAAAAGTACAGAACAACACAAAACAAAGAGAAACTAAAAAAAAAACTCTCAGTGGTTGAGAATATATACTCCCAAACAGAAGAATTCACGCTTCTAAAGAGAAAAAAAAACACCATACACACACAAGCACAAAAGCTAAAAAAAGACATAAAATAACTACAATAACGCCCTCCTCGACAACCGACCAGAAGTACCTAACCTCCCACACGAGAACGACCACAGACGACGAACCTAAGAAATAATACCAAGCCCAAGAAACAGACATCAAAACTCCCTTCTCCAAAGAGAAACTGGCTAACGGCATCATCCGACACCAAAGCTCAAACCCACTCCCCCAACGGAACCCTACCTGAGAAGCACACATTGGTCTGTCCTCCCTCTTCCCCCCAACACACCACACCACCGCATCTCCAAGAGCCCCGACCAGCAGAACTCCCATCGGCACCCAACCGCAGGGAGCACCAGAACAAGGAGCAGGGAATAAGAAAGAGCCCGCCCAAGCCCTGCCCACCACCAGTAGCGGGTGACGCCGACAAACTCCTTCTCACCTCCGAACAGCTGGGAACGTTTCACGGTAGACATCAAGACTGGAAGAGAATCTGCAAAAGAACCATACCTGAACGAAACGTAGAAGGCAAGGACACCTTGATGCTAGTTAGTCTTGTGGCTTATCGGTACTCTCGACTGAAGAGAAGGCCCGACTATGATAAAAAAAAAAAGAGACCGAAAGCTTTGGGCGAAGGGTTTTGCTACAATGCAATTTTGGGGAACTTAGAAGAACAATGTATACTTTATTATGATATTATTTGTTAACCTTCGGAATATGAGCCAACAAATGGGGAAATTATCCCCGAGTAAAAACAATAGGGAGTGAATTAAGTGAGATCGGAAGACCATTATGTAGTAAAATTCAGCTCGGGTTCTTTTGGTGTTTCATATATCTATTTTTAATGAAAGAGAAAATTATGTCATATGTTACGACAAATGAGGGAGCATTTATACTGTCAAACCCACGGACATTGTTTACTAGGCTAATACAGTAGCATTAAATGCGAAAGTGTTATGGACATGTGTCTTGTCCGCCATAAATGCTCCTGCAAGAGGTCAATATGCTTAGAGTATAGGTCGACCTTTGAGCTTTGAGCCTCAAGCATTACACAGGGGTGATTTGATGTGGTTTCGAGTTAAACTACTTGTCCAGTATTTACATTTTTAGGTCGGGTGGAGGCTCATTCTTTTTCGTTCCACGTGTTTTGCCACGGACACACACGTCAGTTCGGATGTCAACATACTGCCCCGAGCTCAGACGATATGTAGTTTGATCGGATTGTTCGAGTTCGTAATTCGATGAGTCAATCAAACTAGTACAGCTATAGGAAACTTAGTATAGAATTTAGATTCCTTGATAAATCAATTTTTCCATTTGAAATGACCTTTTTCTCAAAAGGCGTGCCTGATCAGTTACAATTTTTGGGATACGTGCACCTTAGTTTTCCCGAACGACACAACATTAGAAATAATACACTTTAGCACCAATTCATAGAACGATAGACTCCTATATATAAGAAATCCCCATTTGCCTTAATTTTTAGTTTTCGAAATTTGTGACAATATAATAAAACAGACTAATGGATAATAAGAAATATTGTTAAGCAGATAAGAACCACACATAGACAGGGCGACGTGGCCTAACAGAATGGGGAAGTTCGGCAATACTAAGGGGACGTCTTGCACAACAAGATAACACAACCCTATATATATGGGTGAGGTATGTCCATCCCAACTTTAGATTTTCTATATACTTACATAAAGAGCTTAATTTACATACACTATTGTTCATCGCATACTTTTGTGTTCCAACTTAAGCATCGTACGCTCTACGCTGGAAAAATCCTCTAGCGTTGAGTTTGTACAGGTATTGAAGATCATCAACCGACAAGGATGGCAATTCGGATCAAATAAAGATGGTATGAGGTATGTTGCATACCATTTCGCACTGTCTGTGAGACATTGTTAAAAAATCCATTTGTGAGATCTAGCCACGCCGAACGAAATTCCCAGAAAAAATGAAGAACATACTTTCGTTGACGTGTGGACCACTACATGCCAGCTCAGAGCATACAAACCCCCAGGATTCTCTGGCCACTCAAACCCCGATGCCTCATTCAATGGCTTATGGTGCTCATCGGCGGTCCCTGTCGCAAAAGCAGGCCCGAGCAACCCACTAGACGTCAAGCCAGGATGTCATGTTCCTACTATAGATGCAACCAGATCTAGTTGTCATCTTGTCAATGGGGCAACCAAGATGGTGAAGTCAGCTGGTCAACAGCTTATCATGGTGATGAATGAGAAGTTGAGCAAGATGATCGCCAACGCAATGGCGGCCGGGTGTGCTAAGCAGCAACAGATGTCCAACGTGGTCACTATTATCGTGACCAAGTAGAAGGATACGAAGGTCAAACAGTCGAGCAAATTTGGTAGGAATAGATTGTGATCTTATGGTAGAAAGAATGGACAAGCAACTGAAGAAGCTGCAGGCTAAAGTGGGAGGAAAGAAGTTGAGAAGAGCACAAGGTCACTCTTTTGCGTAGCAGATGCTGGATGCCGACTAGCGGAATGGGTTATGTGAGTTAAGTATTACATATAACAGGTTCACAGACCCACATCTATTCATGTGGTCCTTTTAAATATGGCTATATTGTATGGGAATTCAGACGCGGTGAGCTGTTGAGCATTTCGGGCGACCTTACAAGGTGGAGCACAAGATTTGTTCCACCAGCTCACCCCAGGGTCGATCAGGTACTTTCAAGAGTTTGCAAGCATGTTTCTTAATAAATTTTCCAATGCGAGGTAGTATAAGAAAACATACTTAACGTTGATGGCTTTAAAGTAAGAAAGAGGGAAGACGTTGAGGAGCTTTGTTGGTTGGCATGCTTGAGCATGAGTGGAGAGTCCCTCTGCCTCGAATGAGGTCAAGGCTGAGGGATTGACGAGGGTATTGCGACCAGGTATGTGCAATTGCTTTTTGTCTAAAGGGCCGATGAAAGCCTATATTGGTTCGGTGAATAATGGCGGTTCATGTATGCATCAGATAACTTAACGAAATTAATCCTATCATAGCAGAATTTATTGATAAATTTGAGGACTTACGTTTCAAAAGTTGTTGAATTTAAGACGCTGTAGATTTCCGTTGATGGAGATCTTCTATCTCATCTAATCACTTGTCAAACGAGGAGGTCACCGAGCTCGAATTTGGTCACAAGTTGCATCGCTGCTAGGTGATGCATTGTGGTAACTAGACACGGCTGCGTGCGGTCGTGCGGTCGCGGGCCTACTGCATAATGTGCAGCTGCCTGGGTGGAACGTTGGGTCACGGTGGGACTCGCAGGAGCTACATGCGTCTCGGTTCGTTGGTGGTCGCCGCCTTCGGTGGTGGTTGATCGCCGGTGGATGAGATGGTTAAGGGATGTAAATATATATATCAATGACATAAGAATATATGACCTAGGATTGCTATTGTATGATCGTTGCACCAAAGCCAATTTGTAAGGGTGGACGACTTATCGGATTCCTAGACATCACATAAGATCGTGTCTTTACCTCTTTTTCCTTACTTTCAGTTCTTACCTTAGGATTCTCAAGAGAGGCATGCGGTTATTGTGTTGGGAGAGGAGAATGAGTTGATGTATTTATAGGCTATTATAAGGATCATAAAGAGATGATAGATATGGGCTCCCCAAGTATGGGCCTAACTGTGGGCCAAGCCCACTAAGCTCGTACTTGAATAATATTAAATAGCACTATATTAATATTATTGAACTTCTCATTTAGCTCCGGAATTACAAATAATCCATTCTCTGTTAATTGCTCGAATTACCCCCCATGTTTAAGATCTAACGTCCATCAATTTATTTAATTACTATAATTTAATTAATCGACATATCTATCTGAAACCTCAGTTCATTGTTATTATGACGGAAACTAATTCCGCATGCAGGGCTTGACATAATGAACCTTCATGAGCTCATTTCGAGGATGTCATCAATCCGTCGCACTCGGACATGATGACCCTAAATAATCTATACAGTACATCGTGTACTCAGCCTTACTTACTAAAGTACCGAGTCGCAAGC